TCCTTTCCTTGACAACTTGTTGGAGCAAATAAATACCCGCTTTAATGGACGATCAGAAGCGGCATTGCTTAGATTGCTACTGATACCTGCCAACTTACAGCATCTTAACGAGTCTTCTCAGTGAAGAAAAACTTATTGAACATTATTCCCCTGATCTGCCGTCCCCAAGCAGTGCGTCGCAGGTCTGGAGCTGTGGAAGTGCTTCTGGTATGTTATTCTGCGTTAATACTATACATGGGTTACCAATTTATAGTGAAACTGTGATAAGCTGAAAAAACCAATTATACCTTGTCTTGAAATATGTGTTGATTCTTGCTTTTATTTTTAGGAACAACGCTACCGTAAAATTCACGACACTGTAATAGACATTGAAAGCCTGCAGCTCAAGCCTCTACCCCAATTTCCACACAATTCTGCGCCTCCTGTTAATCACCCCAGTCACAAGTGCAACTGTTGAACGTAGCAACTCTTCACCGCGCTTTGTGAAGAATGTTTATCGCAGCACCATGGGAGAAGAACGTCTAAATGCACTGTTGCTGCTCTTTATTCACAAAGACATACCTTTAAATTATAATGCAGTTTTTGAAGAGTATGCCAAACGAAACCAGAGAAGGATGACATTCGTCAAACCACTGCAGTGATTTATTTCGATTAATAATGGATGAATAAATGCAATGCAATGACTCAGTTAACAGTTCGCCTACCACTAACACTACGATTTTACTTTGAAAATCGTTTTCATAAAATGCTCTTTAATTCTATCTTCCGAAACGTTAACGTTACTTTACTTTGCATCACGATTACGCCCACAATCATGTATGCTGCATCTCCTGAAAAGTGACTGAAGTTTTCATTCGGGGGGGAGGGTGGAGGACTCGGGCCCCCTCTTTCTGAATTTTCTGGATCCGCCCCTGTTCGTGTGTCGAGATTTCCTTCTACCCTGGCTGGTGCCTTTCGCGAAGAATTGTTACGTGCGTCAAATTCAATAAAATGTCGGCAAAACGAGAAAGCATGTTTCCAGAAGCATTCATAGCGCGAGCAGGCATCAGTCCCAACCCAGTTTTGCCATACAGGAATTGAACACATTTTAACGAAAATCCGAGCATGCGACCAGTGGCAAAAATTTCGCGAGCACGAGCAAGCGAGCACTCATCTAATTTTCGCGAGTAATCCGAGCAGGGCCAAATTTTGCGAGCACTTTTAAACTGAATGGGACCTGATTCGATACCCCTTCAAAACATGTTTATGCTACGCTTTAGAACTATATACCAGACCTTTCCGAAGATTGGATGTTCGGGAAAATTTCATACGCACACCGTATACATCTCAGCTGAAGGTCGTCAGTATCGATGTCACATGATCAGTGACACTTGTGAAGCTCGTCAGCAGGAATGTTGCCAACCTTGTTTCCAGGATTTCTCTTTTTCCTGCCTCCTGGAAGAGGAGAGATCCTGGGTACAAGGTTCCAATATTGCTGGGTCATTATAACTCAGTCTTTTTTGACAAACGCTTCCCGTAGTCTTGAAAAAGCCT